GGAGGCCAGGTCCAGCCACCAGCCACTTGTGAAGATGTCTGAATATTACTGAACCTCCCCCTTCCTCTGAAACTGCTAAATAACAAAGTGCGGTATTTTGTAAACATGAGGAGAAGCTTATAAAACTGGTATAAGCTTGTAACCTTTCGTGTCTCAGCTAAGGCAAACCTTCAGGTTTCATGACACCAAATGAGGCATTTAAAATAGCCACGTCTATCCTAAATGTCTAGCTATGTTTTATTTTTTAAATGACCTGTAGCCTAAACACAAAAGTAAACTGGCTAGTTTCACTTTCTATAATTGGGATTATAAACAGTCTTTTTGTGGATATCATACGACTATCTAAAGTCGCAGTGTAGGCTCAAACAAAACTTGACTGTTATATTTCATATCTGGGTTCACTCAGCAGAGTCCTTCTCTGGGATTCATTGTAACCAGTATGGAGGGACACTACACTGAAAACTGGAAAAGTAAAGTATAAACAACAGTCATTTTCAAATCAAAATACAGCACTTGCTTAAATTGGGAATTCAACAACCATTTATGTGATCTCTGGCTTTTAAATTAAGTCAATGCATGTTGAGGAAAACACAGAATTATATAAATTCCAAACTAATGAGTATAGAATAACTTCTCCCCTTACCCACATGTGTTCACCCTCTGGATGCACACATATGTCTTTGAAGCCACAACAAAGCAAAACCAGTCACATAAATGCCAATTCAACATCAGGCCTTTGGTATGGAGTCCTGGTACAGGACAGCAGCCATTTTGACATGAATTAGTAGGATAAACACAAGTGTTACCAATGATACTGATTGAGGTTGTGTTCCATTCAGGTCAAACAGGGTGATGCTGCTGCTGCAGACCCTTTTCATAGCAGATACTGGCAGTAAAGCTATTAGAACCATACTGATAATGTGGTTTAAAATTGATATCATGCAGTGTAATGGTAAGAACTCAACTATAGCTGGGTTGTCGCTTCAACCAAATACATCAGACTCCTGAAGTTTAACAGCTGTTAAACTGACTGTGGGAGGGTTAGTCCTAACGCAGGGACCCTGTAAAAAGAAAGCAAGCCACAGGAGACACAATAAACCAACATAATAAGACAAGAAATGTAACCACAGAGAAGATGAGTCGTATAAGTCAGGAGCTGGCTCTGCTGGGACATTTGTTTTGGTGGTACTTAATGAATGGCCATTGGAAAAGTGAATTCTAACTTTCTTTCCGTCACAAGAAGGTGAAAGGCAGTGCTCCGGGAGATGAAACAGTCTGTCTCGCTCAAGGACCCTTCAGCAGGACAGTCACCCACTCAGCACTCCTCCCTGCTACCTCTGATCAGAGCAGCTTGTTGTTCAGTCTCACCTCCTCTCTCTGTCTCTCTCTCGGTCCCTGTCTCTGGAGCGAGAACGGCTCCGGCGACTGGACCTCCGACTCCGGCTGCTGGCCACCCTGCTGCCGGAGGATGAGGACGAAGACGAGGAAGAGGAGGAGGAACGGCGACGCTGTTGTTTCTTCTTCCTCCTGCTCCGACTGTCATCCTCACTGTCAGACGAGCGCCGACCCATGCTGGCTGACTCTCGGCTACAACACAAGAGTAGTGTTACAGACGAGCCAGCCCCCTTGACAACTTATAGCAACAACTTGATACACAACCAAACCCAGCGTGGCGAGGTGAACACACTAAGCTATTTACCAAAGCCAGGACTACATTTATTGACATACCTTATGAACAAAACGTCTTCTTAATGTCTCTACTTCTACTACTACTAGTACCTAGTCTAGGTCTGGTATGTAACGTTAGCTGTTCAGCTAGCTAATACAACATAATGGCTTTTCTTAACAACCACACGGTGGGAAGTAATAGTTTGACATTTAAAATCACCGTCACAGCTCCAACAACACTGCTGTCGCACATGCGGTGAATATTAAAGAGATACATTTAAATAAGATGTGTTTTCCGTGGAGGCTAGCAGGCTAACAGCGCTAACTCCACTAACATTGGGCTGCGGCTCTTGTCTTGTTTGGCCGCTTAAACAGTGAACAGGCCTCACACTGCAGTCAGCAAACGTTACGAGGCAGACGGAGGTGTAGCGATAAAAGAAACGAGAAGTTACCTTGAAAGAAAATCCCGCTCCTCACCTTTAAATCGCTGTGGACCTCCACAACTCACCATGCACTGCTCAGCAGACTGTACTCGTCGAACCGGAGATCATCGAGCGAGTCCAGACAGAAGAGTCACACACAGAGCGGTCGATCGCAGGGCTGCTCTCATCTGGTATCATCTACAGTGTGTTTGAATTAAAGTGTTTCATGATGTGCCCTGAATGATATCTCCGGCCTCGAACGAGCCCTCAATATTACAGCATTTTAGTTGGTGTCACTTTAACTATAATCTAATAGAGGGAAATTAATATTAATATAACAACATTAACAAAAGTAGCTTGGTTTTATTTAGAGGCTTAAGGGCGCATCTTTACTCACTGAGCATACAGGTAAAGAATTATATTTCCATTATTACATGACTATTTAAGGGAGAGAAAAAAAAGTTCAAAACTGATTTTTGAATGGTGTTTAATCCAGTGTGGCCTAATATACTGACACCTAAATCTAAAGTCATGAGGTCAATTAATGGAGCAGCAACATATCTTCTCCAGTTATTATTTTAACCCTTATATTGCATATATCTTCCATTGTTTTATTTCAGTCTCCAGTCAATTGAAAATATTCTAAATTAATTGGACAATAATGTTTATTCATTACATCCAGGCTATATCAACAGTCTGGGCTGCTCATATTTTCGTTTTGATCCGGCAATGCCCCCACCTACATCACAAATAAGCAAACTCATGTGTGAGTTATAGGTCCGTCAATGATCATTTGCATGAGGTCGTCTTCTCAGATAACCGGGTTTTACACCAACATACACACACACAGAGCTGCGAGGGCAGACAGAGCTTTCAAAACAATTCTCAGCAAAGTGGAATAATTAGCCTAATTACTTCTTAAAAATTCAAAAAACACATAACGGGAGTGAAGGTGAAACGACCACTGCTTCCCTGGACTACACGAGTGAACGAATCAATAACGTGCGCAAGTGCACAAGTTAATGGGGGGGTGTTTCACTACAAATAGGTATATACAAGAGGCTGCTTATCACTGCGATTAGGAATTCATCCTGCTTTGAGATGCAGCAGAAATAATAGTAATTAATGCCTAAGGTTCAAGCTGAAACATCGTTAATATTTAACTAGGGGAATTGTTAGAGCCCTCGTGTGGAAATAGGACTTTATATAGATTATCAATAAACACGCTTAATTTTGCATCAAATTCATCCCGACGTTTGCGAAATCCCGCTGTATCCTGTTTCTTGTCTGGGCTATATGTTGCCTCCTCTTCTCACTTAATTGCTCTCTCTCCGCGGCGTCCGCTTACCTCCGCCGCGAGTGAGCCATTGTTTATTTATTTTTTGCAAATATAGGCAATCATTTCAGCGGGAAAAAAGGGCGAGTTGAAAACGTTAATTAGTGAGCCCAATGGCAACGCACCGTAAGAGGCATTATAATTAAACGTTTAGCTGCTATTTAACATCCTAATGGCTTTAAAAAGTCCGCTGAGAATTAATATTAAGCGATATAGTCTCACTAATGATGACAATTTAAAATACATAGGGCCTAATTGCTGATTAGAAACATAAAAACAACGCTGCATAGCGTGGAAACATTACAGCATTTGTGTCCCCCCCCAGTCAGGCTTATTTCACACATTTTAATAGGCTACACAGCCGTGCATGTGCAATAAAGGTAGTACAAGATAATGATAATAATAATCATCATAATTTCGTTTAGCATTCTTGTTAGAATATCAAAATAGGCCTCGAACTGCAGCAATTATTTTAGCATTTCAACGCTTTTAATATAATTTTTTTTCCCTTTTCCAATTTGTTTTTGCTGTGAAATTCCGTTTCAAATCAAAAGCGACAACGTGGATGCACAGAAACACGCCGAACACTTCAATAATAAATGCAGCAGGCCTAAAGCCAACTGTGTGCAACTAGGGTTAAAGCCAAATATGTTCACTTGAGCTTCCTCTGAAGCTCCTTGTATAAGTCGTTGCTGATCCTCTCGGCATTCCCAGCTGGTCCGCTTTTTTTTTCTTTTTTTTTTACCTCTTTTCTCTTCGTGTCACCGTTGTGACTTATTTCCCCCCCAGATCACAGAGATATACTGAGGAAGGACTCCTCATCCATGTGCTTCCCTCTCTCTCTCTCTCTTGTCATTTTCGGATTTTTTTAAGCCACACCCCTGCAGAGAGAGAGAGAGAGA